GTTGGGTGGTGGCGAGGGGGTCTTCCCGTGGTGGAGGTGGGAGGGGTGATGAGCAGCTCTAGATCAGATTTGAGAGGTTCTGTTTAGACTAGGCTAAAGGGTGATTGTATCCATCTCTGCCTCTGAGGCAGCTCTGAAATCGAAGACAGATGTTGGTGTATAGATCTTCCACAAATGCACCATGCATACGAATCACTGGGGTTTCTTGTTAAAATGCAGGTTCTGATTCTGCAGTCTGGGGTAGGGCCTAGATTATGCATCTCTAGCAAGATTCTAGTTGGTAGGGGAGGCTTGTTACTTTGAGTAGGAAAGCTTTAGGTCGCACCTTTCCTTTGAGTTCCCTTGCATTCTGTACAGGTGACGTCTTGTCTCTGATAACAGCTCGCCGTCCTATCTGCATACCTGTCCATCTCTGCCTGCAAGCCCCCTGGAGAGTGGGGTCCCTTGCTTATTTGTCTAAGAACCACCATGCCTAACGTAAGGCCTAACACATAATAGGTGCTCAATGAAGAACTGATGGAAGAATGGCTGTGGAAATAGGAAACAGTCCCAATTATACCCAAACTAAGGCTCAGCCTCATGAGCTCTTAGAACTCTCAGCTGAAACCACTTGTCTCCTGTGCAGCAGCTCAGTGAGTCAGGGCCACTCTGATCAAGGCTTCCATGCTGGACACACTGGCATGGAGGGGGAAAATGAGGTGGAGACCTACCTGAGCACGGGTGACACAGGGTCAGGACCAATCAAGGCAATGAGATAATATTAAAATACTTACACAGTCACTTCTCAGTAAGTGCACATTAAGGGGGTATGGCTGAGAACCGAAAAGAAATAAAGAACAATCCATGGGCACCTTGGTGGCTTGCACCTACAATTGCTCAAAACTTAGCTGCTGGTGTCTTTACTTGTAGAAATCAGCGCTACTTTCTAGAGGAACCTAGCATGGGGCACAAGGCACACAGCTGCCCTGGGATCCTCCCTGCCATCCTGGAACCATGAAACAACAGACGGAGGACCTCTGACACCAGGGCCAGTCCCGCTATTGCCACGCGGGGTCCTGCAGAGGCTGGGAGCCAGGGTAAGGGAGAGGGGCACCTTGCCGCGTGGGGAAGGCTGACTAGGAAGAGGTCAAGGGGAGCAGGCAGCAGCAACGTAATCACAGCACATTCGGAGAGAGGACATGGCAGAAGTGGGGCTCAGAGAAGTCCCACGCTGGAGATCCCGGGGAGGTGGCTGTGGTAATTTTTACTTCCCTAATAGATGCGGAGCATTTCAACTTTGCTAATTAACCGAACAGCAGGCTCGTAATTCTGACAGCAGCAGGACACAAATGGGGTGGGATTAGTGTTGAATGCCATCGAAGCATGCCTTTGTCCTTAAGAGAAAGCAGGAAACTCACGTTGGGTCAGGTCCCTGAGGGTGCCCTCTGGTTCCTTTTTTTTTTTTTTTTTTCCCTACAGTAACTCCAAAGAGCACAGGGGCTTTTATTTCTTCTCGGTCTTTCTTTAGATCTAGGAAGGAGGCTGCTGTTTCAACAGGCTTTTCTTTTAAGGGGGGAAGCTGATCTACGGTGGGTCTAGAGTTTGTAGGGTCATGTGATATTATCAAATATACTTTGTTCAGAGATAGCAAGTGCAGGTCAGGTCTGCCTGCTGCCTCTGAGGTATGGGTGCCTCACAGAAGTTCTTCCATCACTAGCCTTCCGTTTTGGTAACTTGGGCTGTCCGTAAAATGGGCTGATGTGTCTTGGGCATCCTGATTCTGAAACTGATTCCTGGGAAAGAATGCCCTGAGAGGCCAGGGAAGAGTTGTTTATCTTCCCAAAGCACAATGAACCTTGCTGGGAGTTTGTTTCCAGCACTTTCTCTCAAAGCATATTGATCTGATAATCTGAGGATCTTAAAGGCCAATAAATATGAAGAAAAGGTTTAAAAAACCTCAAACTATCAGAGCTGAGTGGGACCCTGGAGATCGTCTATGTGGATCACCAGCCCTTGGTGTGACATATGAGGCCACTGACCATGCGCATGTCACTTGAGAAATGGTTACCATTTCATTCATTTCTTTATCCTTTCATCAAATATTTATTAAACATTTTCTATGAGGCTGCCCAGACATGTACCTGATAGTGAAAACATGTTGCTATTTCACTGGTCCTGTTTGAGTTAGTGTTCAATGGACTTCTCCTTTATTATATATCCTGACAGCTGGCTTCACAGGGGCCAGGGGGAATTGATACATAGGACCCTCAGCCAGTGCAAATAGGTCACCAACTTCTGAGCTGCTGGGCTAATTAGTTTAGCTCTACTTGGCTTTACATAATGCATATATTGTTGAAAAGTTGTTTGTAATTCAATTTTTGGCAAATGAAAAACTAATTGAAACCATTAAGGCAACTTTTATTTAAAGAAACCCTGGAGCAAATCCATTTATAATGTGAAAAATCTTGTTGTTGTTGGAAACGATTATCCCCTAGTTAAGGATTTTGTAAATCTAGACACTTTAGGTTTTCTTATGGTAGGCTCACAACCTGGGAGGTAGTTCAGCTGTGGTCTAAACCAGATGGGGGAAGACTCTGGCCTGGGAAGAGGAAGCCTTGGGAATCTTAGACCAGCCCAACCCAAGATACTGAAATTTACTCGGGCCAATGGCCAATGGTTGCAAGCTGCCGGGACAAGCCACTGCCTTTCTCTCAGGCCCTGGAGTCTGGAGGGGAGAAGGAAGAGGTGGGGCATGATGGGTGGGGTGTGAGGGATAGAATTCAGTGCTCCCTCTAGCTCTCCCTCCACAGGTAGAAGCCATAAGGGGGTAGGATAGGAAATCTTATGCTTCCATTATAATGAATTCCAAGGTCTTCCTTAATGTCTGGGGACTTCGTGGAATTAGAGCCGTCTTGTATACTTTAAGGGAGGTGGGGGAGAGGAAGAGCAGTGGAAAAAATAGGACAGGTGTTTTGAAGAAAAGAGGGTTATGTCATTCTTGTCAAATCTCATTCGTTTGGGCCTTCCTCTTTTTGAACTCGTAAAAAATCTGGAAGCAGACAGGACCGAAGTTTAACTTTTCTTATTAAAATTTTTTCCTATAGAAATGAAGGTGTATATAGTGATAGAGAGGAGAATGTTTTAAAACTGATGTATACAAAGATGTATTTCATATATGAAAATAGGCTGTTTTAACGCAGAGGTGTCCTTTTACACAAACAACTCATGTACCAGCTAAAGATGATCCTTGTCTAGTTGGTAAAGCTGGATTGGACTCTCCCCTGCCGAAGAAGCTGAAACATCTTACTGCATGAATTGGGAAGAACAAAAACAAAACCAAAAAACAACCTATGTGTCTATTTGTAAATTCTATAATAATTTATATGGATTCTAAGTGGTTTCTAGTAGTGAGATTTAATAGTTTCTGTGTTGGGACATAAGGTCAGAGTGTAAAGATCCGTACAAACAATGCTTATCATTAGAGATTTGTTGTTGTTGTTGTGTTATGTTTTTCTTCTTCTTTGGCCCACGTTCTTCTCAAAGTGAGCCTTGTACTGGGTTATTGCAGCATTAGGTCCTGTGGGCCAGCAAAGGGGAGCGACTGATGAATGAAAAGGCTCACTGTCTTCATGTGGTGAAAAAAATGAAGAAGAAATAGGTGAAATGGTCAGCGACACTTTGGGAATTTGGCTGGGGTTAGGGCATAACCCGCGACCACGGCAGACTGGCATTCTGAAGACACATCTCTCCTCTTCTTTGGTTGAGTGTGCAACTGGCTCATTTCCCTTCCCTAGGCCAGTGATTGTAACCCTGGGCTGTTGCCAGAATTCCCAGGCGAGCCTCGAAGCAGTCAGGATTTAGAGGTTGAGAAAGCCCTGAGTGGGGACCATCTTCCCAGATCGTTTTTCTGCAGATTATCTGATTGGGACCACAAGGGAGTAAGCCATGCTGAGAAAGGCACCTGAGCGGTTGCCGGTGGTCCTGGTTCTGTTACACTGAGCTGACGCAGAACCTCCTCTCTTCTGGTGTCCCTGCGTGTGATGTCCCTGGTGGTGATCCACAGCAGAGATCCCAGTTACGGCTCACAGGGTGTGGGCTGGCTCTCCCTGAGAGTCTTTGTGGGGTGCTTGGGCTAAATGTAAGGCTGCAGTGGGCTGGTCGCGGTTTTATGTGTACGTGTGTCTGTGTGTGCACGCGGGGGCTTCTCTTCCCACGTGCCTTATACTCGTACCAGGCTGGGTTGTCCTTTCTCCAGGCACATCATTATTTTCCATTCTATGTGAGCCCCAGGCCTCTGCCTCCAACCCTCTAATAGGAAGTCAGCTGGACCCCAGAAGGGACTCTGCAGCTAAGAAGGGAGATTTAGGCAGAGAATGAGTTGCTGAAGAAGGGAGTGCATTTCCTTCCCAGGAGACTGGTGTCTCCCCACCTCCTGTCTGTTGTGGACTGCTGAGGGTGACATTGAGGGGGAGGAGGAAGAAGGGTTATTGCATTCAATATTGCTTCCCACTTAGGGATATGGTGGTTTACTTTTACAGTTTGTACAATGAAAACTTAAGAGTCCCTGTGCCAGGTAGAGGAAAGGCAAAAATAATTACTTAGGGTTTTGTGGTCCATCCTGATATTAATTAACCTGTTCCATTGGTGTTTACTGATTGTACCAGACACCATGCTAGGCAAAGAGGTACAAAGTGGCTTTTAAAAAGCCCTGTCGTCAAGTTGCCCACAGCAGCAGGGCTGTGGCTGTTGCCTGCAAGGCACAGAACTTTGTATGTGTGGTGGGGGCGATCTGGACTGTCCTCTCCCTGGAAGGGACACTCACGTGGCCTGGCATCATGTGGAAGTGTCCTCTGTGTTGTGGACCTTCTCCCGTTCCATTGGTTCCACTGGGCTGGGCTGTAGCACCTGAACAAGGCACAACTTTGTGGCGTGTGATGGGGTTGGGGTGCTGAGGGAGGTACCCAGGGATTCAGCCATCTGACCTCTTTCATCCCAATTCCTTCTGTTTTGTCATCCCACAGGGTCTTTTCGGAATGATGGTTTGAAAGCTTCTGATGTCCTTCCCATCCTAAAGGAAAAAGTGGCCTTCGTGTCTGGTGAGTGTCTGTGGAACTTTGCTCTGTAAGGGACCTGGAAGAGTGTGTGTGTGCACAGGCATCTAGACAGTTGTTTTGTGGTATGTGAGAGAGGTTGTGGGGGTTGGTGTGGCACTCGGCGTGGCTGGCTGCATCCTTGCTCCGGAGCAGACAGAAAGAGGAGAGGGGGCACTGACCCAAGCTGGGTGCTCTGGAGGATACTCACAACCATGGCTGGGAGCCTCTCACCCGCACCCCCATACATACACCTGACCTCCCAACCCCTCCCTGGCCAGTCAGGTCCCTCATGGGCCACTGAGGTCCCTATGGAATATGCTCTAGTTGGAGGAGTCTGTTTATCTCACACACTCCCAGAGGTTTTATTTGGGTTCATCTCTGAGTGGATCAGATAGGGAAGGATAATTTTTTTCTGGCTCCTCTTTATCTCTCCTTCCTTGCAAAGGGAACTCAATTAAGTGTTTGTATCTATTTATTTTTCTGAATAATGGCTTCCAAATATTTATTTCCGACTTTTCTCTCCAACCCATCTTGTGCACCTGGATCTTTTAATGTCTGATTCAGGGGTCAGCAAACTACAGCTTGTGCGCCAGCCACCTGTTTTTTTTTTTTTTTTTTTTTAAGATTTTATTTATTTATTTGACAGACAGAGATCACAAGTAGGCAGAGAGGCAGGCAGAGAGATAGGGGGAAGCAGGCTCTCCACTGAGCAGAGAGCCCCATGTGGGGCTTGATCCCAGGACCCTGGGATCATGACCCGAGCCGAAGGCAGAGGCTTTAACCCACTGAGCCACCCAGGCACCCCCAGCCACCTGTTTTTTTAGGTAAAATTTGATTGGAACAAAGCCATGTGAATTTGTTTAGGTAGTATTTGTGTCCTATTGCTGTGTCTTACTGCTGGGTAACAAGTTACCACAAATTTGGTAGTGTTCAGCAATAGAAATGTATTCTCTCATGGTTCTGGAGGCCAGAAATCCGAAAGCAGTTTACTGGTCTGAAACCAAGGTGTCAGCAGGTCTGTGCTGTCTCCAGAGGCTCTTAGGAGAGAATTCGCCTCTTGCCTCTTCCAGCTTCTAGTGGCTGCTGGCATTCCTTGGTTTGTGGCCATGTCACTCCCATCTCTGCCTCTTTGGTGCCATTGCCTTTCCCTCTTCTGTCTGCATCAGATCTCTGTCTGCCTCTCTCTAACAAGGATACCTGTAACTGCATTTAGGGCCTTCTCATATAACCCAGGGTAATCTTCCCATCTCAGGATCCTTGAATAGTCACAGCTATAGACTCTCTTTTCCAAATAGGCTAACATTTATGGGTTCCAGGGATTAGGACCTGATATTTTGGGGGGCCACTGTTCAGCCTGCTATAGGCAGTGTCAATGGCTTCTTGCTAACTACAACAGCAGAGTTGAGTGATTTCCTCAGAGCCCAGATGACCATAAGTTTAAAGTATTTACTATCCAGACCTTTAAGAAGCGTTTGGTGGCCTGTGATGTAACTGAAGGCAAGCTACAGGAGCACCGGCCATCACTGTGGATGCTAGTTCCTGAGCTCCATCCTAGGCCTCCATTATAGAATCTCCCGCAGGGGCCGGGGTAAGGGCAGTGCCCACCAAGGATCACATTTAAAGAAATATACCCAAGTGCTCATGCCTTGTGGATTGAGCATTTGTCTCCGGGTGATCCTGATGGTCCACAAGGAGTGGTGGTAGGATCACAGGGAAGGAACGAGTGTCGTTTCACAGTGTATGGCTTCACTCCAGAGCTGCTGCTGGCCTGGCTGGTGGACAACAGACAAAATGGAGAGAAGGGAGAGAGAGGAGGTGGTTTGGGGAGGAGAAACCAAGCAGCGGGTGTCTCCTGCCTATTGAGAAGGAAGATGAGAGACTGATGATGATTCGGAATGTGGAGTTGGGAGGTGAGGGCAGAAATGCAATGGGAGTATGTGAGGTACAGAATGCACTTCTTGTTATTATTAGTAGTATTAGTAGTGACACTAGTGTTGCTGTTGCTGTGAGATGACATTGGTTGAGAAGCTGTCTTTCCACATGAGTGTTAGGTGCTTACGTATCTTATCAGGTAGTGAACCCCTGTCCCTGAAGATGCTGAAGCCCAGGATGAACAGCCCCTTGGTGGGACCACATGGCAGTGATTTTGGTATGGGTAGAGGTGTGGGTAAGACAACCTCTGAAGCCTTCGCACACTTGGATCAGAGTGCTTGCTGGACATGTGGGAGGACCCTGTGGGGAAGTTCTGAGAGCCACTGGGCAGCCCTAGGCCCCCGACTTTTGCTGCTGCCCATAGCCTGGCTCCAGGATGTGACCCACAGCCTTCTATTGTGTGCTCTCTATTCCCAAGCAGAGCCCAATCCTATCTTTTCTTCTTTTTCTTAATGGCTCTGATTCTCATTTAACTTGATGTCCCTCCTGTCTGCTTGGTATCCCGCTAATTCTCCCATGTCTCCTGTGCTCCTGTGCCTGAACTTCCTCTACTGGCCCTGATTTACTCACATTTTTTTCCGGCTTGAGCCTCTCTTCTTCCCAAGTCATTTCCCATTTTGCCTCCTCGAAGAAGCCTTTCTGGCTTTAATATTGAGCCTTCGAACACCATCCTATTCTGCATCAGTCCAGGACCTATGACTGCACATGCAGTACACATGAGAACCCTTGTTTGATCGTTCAGCTGGAGCCCTGAGGCCCAGCCAGCCCTAGAAAAGACCTTCCCAACTATAAAGAGTTGTCCTAAGGGAGCACACAGAATCAATGTGCCAGGAAGATGGTCCAGCATGAGGCAGGTAGAAGTTTCTCAGAGCAGGAGCAAGGGGACTGGGGCATGCAATTCACTCCCTTGTACTAATGTGGGCTGAGCAGCCCAGGGTACATCTTATTCATCTATGCACAGTGCCAGGAGCTTTTGGGCTTAGGGAACATTGCCTTTCCATGCCAGGGAAGGATGCTGAGGATGTGAAGGATATAGCTGGCTGCATCTGAAAAAAAAAAAAAAAAAAAACAAACAAACAAAAAAACCAGAAATAAGAAACAAACCAATAAAGCCTCTTATAACCTGAACTTTTAAAAGAAAAAAAATGTAAGAATAAAACAAAACAAAGAAACCCAGAAGTGAAGAATGCGTAGTTACAGTTGCATTTCTTTCTGTGAAGGAAGGTGGTAAGCATCACAAACTGTTGGTTGTGCCCATCCCTGTCTGCTAGTCCCCCCAGTGTGGCCAGGGCAAAGGAAAGCATGCTGCCATGGGAATACACATTTGGAAGAATCCAGTGAGTGTAGCTCCCTAGCTTCTGTGTGTGGGCGTGTGCACCTGTGTGTGCAGGCTCTGTGGCTGTGCCTCAGGGAGCCTCTGTCGCTCCAGCCTGGCCATTCTGCTCTGCATTCACAGCCTGTGTGCCTCCCTTTGCCCTCTCTGGCTCCCTTTGAGTGCCTGCGCCTCCCACTCCCAGCACCCGTTTGTGCCTTTTATGCAAGCTGCTTGTACGGTGCTCATTTCACCTCTCTTATCTTTATGTGCAGTCACGCCCTCCTCTTAGCCACCACCTGATGTCCCTCTCTGCCTCCTTATCTCCTACCAACAGCATTCTCTAGGCAGCTGCCGTAGCACGATCGCAGACCCTGAATCCATGTCTCCCAAAGTGTGTTCCATAGAACAACAGTTCCACCAGATGAGCCTCAAAAAAGAAAAAGGGGTTCTATAATCTGATGTTTGGGAAAGGCATATTATAGCTGCCTCATGGAGATTTGCCATGTTCATTAAAGCACATGTCTATTAAACACATGAAGCCATCTCCAAACTACAGAGTAACCTCATTCCCTTAGAAAAAATCATCCATTAACATCTCTCAGAACTACTGTCAGATGGACCAAACTTTGGTATAATTTCATCAATGTATTTTTCTTATTCCCACCCCCCCACAACTCCCCACCTCTCCCAATTGCCCTAACTGGAGCCCCCTGAAAATTTTGAGCACCATTCCTCCTCTGGCTCAATCAGGGAAGACTTAACTCCCTGTGCTTTAGCCTTTATCTCTTCCCCAACCCTGTCCTGCCCTGCCCCTATGCCTTGGAGAACATCAGACCATCCCTTCCTTTTTCTTCCTTTTTATCTCAGTCCTGTGGCTACTGGGCCCAAAGCCTCTCACACATAGGCCCACAGCAAGAATGTCATGAGTGAAGGAGTGACCCTTGAGGACCCTGCTACCATCTGTATCATCTTTTCAAAACGTGGCTACTTTTGTAGCCACTCTTGTCTTGTACCCTCCCAGATCCACCTCCATAAGTCACACAGGCTTCAACAAGGGGTTCTTATTCTTCACCTCTGCTTATGACCCTCTGCAATTTCAGTGCCCATGTCAATTATCCATCAAATCCTACACCTTCATAGCTGTTCAGCCTTCTTTGTACCAAATTTTCTACCTCCTTACATTGGCCATGCATATGCAAGACCTTAACTTTGATATACGTGTCTATGGCCTTTGTTACCTTTGACCCTTTCTGATGTTTCCCTGTAAATTGGGAAAGGATGGATATCAGATGAGCAAAACATCTGCTGTCCCCTCTTCCTTGGGAGCTCATTATCCAGCAAGACATCTCCTACCTTCAGTGGGCCCTCCCCACTTGTGCATGCACTAGCTTTATTCTGCCTCCACTCAAGTTAGAACCTAACTTGGACACCATGCCTAGACCTTACAACAGAGCTCTCATGATGCCCCAGTTCCCTGTCTCATCTCTTTTTGCCCACCTCATGTACAGGCCTGATGTTCATTCTCTAGGGACGTTGGCCAGTGATAGTTTGCTCCCCTTTCTCCTAGTATCTCAAGCCTATCCTGACTTGGTAGGTGGGGCTAGTCTGCTATTTCACCTAAAGAACAGTGTCCCCCAGGCAGGCTGAGTTCTCCCTCTCTTTACTTTATCTGTTTCCTCCTCCCTCTTTAAGTTCTGTCAGCATGCTTCAGAGAAGGAAGTAGGACCCCTCCGCTTGCATGGGCTCTGAGGCCTCTTTCTACCCATTGTCCCACTCTTTCCAGCACAATGACTATCTTTCTCTATGCTCCTTCCTACTCCACTTCCTACATTCTTACATTCTTACAAGGTCATCTTCTTTCTGAAAAACCCCTGACTGATCCTACTGCCCAGTCTCCAATCTTTATCCATGCTTCCTGAAGGCCGGGGTGGGGGCGGGGTATGGGTGTGGGCTGCACTGCCTCAGGCTTTTTCTCCTTCTTCCCCTTCCCCTGCCATCTGGAACTTTCCCCAGCCATATTTATGATACTCTCCCTCCAAGGGCAGACCTGGCTCTAGCTCAGGAAGTACAGTGCCAGCAGTCCTCTAAACTCCTTATAGTAAGCCTTTGCCAATCAGATCAGCCTTGGCTCCCTATGTTCTTATGGGTCTACTGTATCCATGGAAGGTCAGGAAGAAAGGCAGCAACAGCAGTTAAAACCATCAAAGAGTGAAAATCCTTAGGGTGGGTCAAGGCTAGAGAGGAAGGTTGAGGGTATGGGAGATGCTCCTAGCTTTTGGGAAACTTTCCAGTTGGGAAATGGGGATCCTTTCAAAGGCAGATGACTCGGAGGTGGCTATTCATACAAAAAGCCAGGACTGTAGTATGGAGCTGGGGGTTCAGGTCCAACTCTGTGGTGTGTCTACATGAATCTGCTCCAGTGTGGGGCTGGGGATGATGGTGGTACCTGCTGAAACAATTTTTTCTTTTTCATCAAGGCAGATCTCTCAGTGACCCTGATCTTGTTTGATCCTTTTCTCTTGCCAGTCTTCTCATTTCCTCTTCAGGAGTATCCTGAATGGTTTGGATTTTGTTTGTCAAGTCTCCCTTCTGTCTTTATGGCTTCTAGACCCTACAACAGAGGGACTCGGACTTGGATGGGGACCCTGGGAGGCTCTAACTTCCCCTGGAATAGCTTCTTCTTCAGAGAGCTGAGCCTTAAGCTTCTTTTCCAGAATTGGTGATGGCCATGCCAATGCCACCTCCTTCTTGTATTATATCCCTGTGGTCTCCACTCTGGAGGATGTCGGGCAGCTGCTTGAGATGTGTTCAGGAGTCCATGAACATGATGTAGAGGTTTTCTTTGTGTAATAATCAGGGCCTGTAAGGACCTGTAAAGACCTTAGCTTTGTCCCCTGTGACCCTCCTGAAAGCATTACTACTTCCTAGTAATGCCCATTAAAGAATAAATTTTTAGAGGATAGAGTAATAGTGAATAGAAAGTTTAGGGAAAAAAATGAAAGAAAAAGCAACCATGCAAAATCTCAGCCTTCTAATAACAACAACAATCATCATTTCACTATACTCTCCTTCCTGGTTTTTAAAAATGTGGTATTTAGAAAACGTTTATAATCATAGTGCGTACATATGCATTTGCAGTGATTAAGACCTTGAGCATCCTTGTTTCTGATAAAGGTTCCTGTGCTTCTCCAGCAGGAGTGACAGGTGGCACCTCAGGCAGGCAGACAGGCAGGGGTGGATCTTTGGCTGTGCAGAGAACACTTAATATCCTTTCTATGAATCTAAAACCCTCCCAGCAGTGGTGTCTTGGATGGATGCTTGAAGGGTTTCTCAGCAGGGTAGTCAGTTAATCCTGAGCCCTTCTACCTCACAGAGGTCTGTAAAGAGAAGTGAATTGAAGGTTAAATTTCCAGAGACTACAGCCCATTCAATAGCTTGTGTTCTCAGAAAGAGCAGTCATCACCTTCGTTATCATCTCGCATTTGGAGAGGGCTTTACTTTTAAAGTGCTTCCCCATTTGCCAGCTCCTCAGTCCTCCCGGCCACCCTGTAAAAGGCTCATCAGTATTTTCATCTGCACTTTGCAGTGAGATATTAGAGAAGTCAAAAGACTTGACCAAGGTTACCCATGTTAACCACATCCAAACCCCATGCCCTTCACTTGACCAGTGACCACATTTCTCCAGGCGCTGTATTTCTGTCTGTTTCCTCCAGCACTCAGACGGCTGTTCAGCACTCACGTTCTGGCTGGTTTTCCTAACAGCCCTCCTCTTCCTCCCTGCAGGGGGCCGTGATAAGCGAGGCGGACCCATCCTGACCTTCCCTGCTCGCAGCAATCATGACAGAATAAGACAGGAAGACCTGCGGAAACTCGTGACCTATTTGGCCAGTGTGCCAAGGTAAGGTGAAGGGGAACGACCTGCTGGGGCGGGAGTGGGGCTGATGCAAGTGCGTTGGAATGAGGGCTTCATCCTGCCAGGGGCCTGGTTGTTTCTACGCTTGGAGTGGATGCTAATGATTCCTGGAAAAACATCACCCAGAGTTCACCTTGTTCTCATCATTCCCATTGTTACTGCTGGGACCCACATGAATGGAGTGGGAGCCCTGGGCAGAGGTGAGAACAAGGGCAGGGTCTGGAGCAGGAGGCACTGTGGCCTGGGGAGGAGGGTGGGAAGTTGCTGTTTTCCTTAGGGAAGCGGAAGTCTGGCTGATTCCACTCCGGCTTGTGCAATGGATTATCTTCAAAACCTCTGGCTTGTGAATGTGTTTATGGCTTTTGGAGTTTGGGGCAAATACCTGTACTAGTGTTCCACAGCTAGCTGCAGCCCTCCGCTCAATCAAGGTCACACCTTTTCAGCAGGGTTAATATTGCCTCCAAGAGGGATGAAAATTGGGGGGGCTAGTGAAAACCTTGGTTTTTAATGTATTAAGCACAGATATATGTACTGTACCTAAAAATATGTACAGTATATTCATGGTATTAAAATTTTGCCAGGTGGGGGTGCCTGTATGGCTCAGTCAAGCATCGGACTCAGTTTCAGCTCAGGTCATGAGCTCAGGATCCTGGAATTGAGCCCCAGGGCATTGGGCCCATGCTTAGTGAGGAGTTGGCTTGGGACTGTCTCTTTCTTCCTCTGCCCCTCTCCTTGCTCACGTGCTTTCTCTCTTTAAAATAAATAAATAAAAATCTTTTTAAAAAATTTCATTGGGTAGGGCAAGTAAAGAAAAAAAAAAGCATTTAAAAGCTCATTTGGAGCAGGGAACAATGATAATTTTAACATGTTGAGAAATACTGGTTTCTGAGTGTTTCCAGATAGTGCTGGTCACATTGGTGGTAGAGAGACACGTGTCGAGGCCATGGCCTATATCTTCTAAGAAGGGAGAGGAGAGGCCTTTGTAGACTCAGATCACAGCATGTGAGAGCTGAAAGGGCACTGGGAAGCAGCCTCGGCAACTATGTGTTGTGCTCCGCTTAGGAATTAGGGTCACTGGGGATGAGAGCTGCTCACAGGAATCCATGGCAGTGGCTGGCCTAGAACTCTGCCCTCCTGACCCCTGCCCCGGGGCTCTCCCATCCTTGCCCTTGACCAGAAAAATTTCTGTTCTCTGCCATTTAGTGGAGCTGGAGCCTGCCAAGTGTTTGTCATGGCAAATAAGAAGTGGTACCTTGGGCTTTCGGAAACTTCTTCTTATCTGTGCATTTTATAGGAGAATTAGTAAATTACAAAGAGGACCTCCATATTCAGCTCTGCCTCTGCTGGGAGACCTAGGATAATTGTTGAAAGTGCTGATTAGGGACACCCGGGTGGCTCAGTCAGTTAAACCTCTGCTTTTGGCTCAGGTCATGATCTCAGGGTCCTGGGATTGAGCCCCGCATTGGGCTGTCTGCTCAGCAAGAGGTCTGCTTCCCCTTCTGCCTTCCCTCCCTAGCCCCCAACTCATGCTCGCTCTCACTTGCTCTATCAAATAAATAAAATCTTTTAAAAAAAGAAAGTGCTGATTAGGTTCTTAGAGCAGGTATCCAATGAGGCAATCACTACATTTAAAAGTACTACGAGGGAGGGGTGCCTGGGTGGCTCAGTGGGTTAGGTGTCTGCCTTCAGCTCAGGTTGTGATTCCAGGGTCCTGGGATCAAGTCCCGCATCAGGTTCCCTGCCCAGCAGGGAGCCTGCTTCCCCCTCTCCCTCTGCCTGTTGCTCTGCCTGCTTGTGCTCTCTCTGTCAAGTAAATAAAATCTTCAAAAAAAATTTATAAACAAAAATAAAATAAAAAGTAAAAGTGCTACAAGGGAGACAAATGAAAGGGATTGGTGGACAGTGATGGGCAGGTGGTACAGGGGATTGAAGAGCAGTCATCTAGGGCTTGGAGGATATTGATTAGAATTGGGAGAACCCCTGAAGGGCCCCCACAGAATGCTATGCACAAACAGATGTCAGATAGTCTGCTGGGGGTCAGAAGAGAGATAAAAGGTCTTAAGTTCCAATGAAAGGGATTTGGGTTATATCTGAAGAAGAATGTCTAAACTTTGAGTGGGGTCTTTGGACGAAGAATAGAATAGAATACTTTTTTTTTTTTTTCCTGGAGGTCTTTGTACAGAAGAAATATTCCTTTCTGTCTCAGAGGCAAGGAGATGGACTAAATCACCCATGACTGATGTAGGTAATTTAGCAATTTACTCATCTACGAGCTAAGCAGTTTTAAAAGCACCTTTCCCAAGTATACTACTAACAGGCATAAAGCCAGGCATTTTCTAAAGCAATTTACAAGAGAAGTTTTCATGGGGACCCATGATGAACTCTCAGTTCTCTTAGAGTCAGAAGAAATTGGGGTCCCAGGAAACATGAAGGGTGCATTTTTTCTTTCTGGTGTGTTTATCATATCCCTGCAGCTAATGCACACTTACCTTCTAAAGAATAGAAGGTAAAAGTATTGGAAGAACACTTTTCTTCATTCTGATTTGTTCAGCAAGGATGGGACAAAATAGAAGGGCAGTAATTAAAAAAGAGGGGGTAAAGGAGAATGAAACCCATGAGGGCCCGAGAGGAAGGTTACAGTACCTTAACACTGAAGGAATAAACTGGGTGTGAGCTCTCTGCTTCTCAGAGGGTGGTCCCAGGCATTGTGTCTGTACCCCTGAGAGGAAAAAAAAATGTTCTTCAAAGGTTCTGGCAGGTGGGAGGCAAGTGTCCTGTTGCCATCTTCGGTGAGAAGGATTGTTCTTGGAGAGACGCCTGGGTGGCTCAGTCAGTTAAACATCTGTCTTCAGCTCAGGTCATGATTCTGGGGTCCTGGGATCAAGTCCTACACTGGGCTCCTTGCTCAGAGAGGAGTCTGCTTCTCCCTTTGCCTGCCGCTCCCCCTGCTTGTGCTCTGTCTCTCTGTCTCTCTTTCTCTCTGTCTCTCTCTCTGACAAATAAATAAATAAAGTCTTAAAAAAAATTGTTTTTAGAGGCCAGCTACCTCCCAAGGGTCTTTGCTTACCAGGAGTGTGAGCACCTACAAGTGGCTAGTGGCAGAACTTACCAACTAGTCATGCCCACCCATCACTTCCTAATTCTGTTGGCCCCAAGTTCACATGTGACTGCTGTTGGAAACAAAATGTGGAACAGAGTTTTTCCAAAGACAGTGAAGTCTGGGGAGGGAAACTGAAGAACTTTGCAAGTTAGATGGTTTTTGCCACTCTTCTGCTTAGCCATGGCTTTGGGAGAGAAGGGAAGCCATGAAAATGAACAGCAAGATCATGTCAATGATACTGATGAGAACAAATGACCTACTCAGGGTTCTGGCTCAGGAGGCTGAAAGACAGGCTCCTGTCGGGGAGGAGTGTGCTCTGCAGACTGGTATAATCATCCGTAGATGATATTTGACATTCATTCTCTCATGAATTTATTCATTCTTTTTCTGTTTAACAAATATTTAGAGCCTCTACATGCCAGGCAGACCAAGCATTCATGGTGAGCAGGAGGAGACATTTTGATAAAGTTAAGTAAAACCTGGGTATTTCCCTACCCAGTGCAAACCAGTAGCCATTAAAGGGCAGTACACTATATGACTGTGCTGGTAGCACCCAAGATGGGCTGGCCAGCAGAAGACAAGCCAGTAAGGACCAGCAGGTGATGAAAGAAGATCCCAGAATCTAAAGAACCAGTCATCTTGAGGCTAATTCTGGCACCATTCTAGAATGGATGATTAAACAGGTGGTTGTGGAAATTGAGAAATGAATGGGAAGAAATAGTCCCACTACTCTCTGTGAAGGCCAGGCCACTTTGGACCACTGCATTCAAGTCTGCAACATGGAACTCTGCCAGTCCATTTTATTTATTTTTTTAAAAGATTTTATTTATTTATTTGACAGACAGAGATCACAAGTAGGCAGAGAGGCAGGCAGAGAGAGAGGAAGGGAAGCAGGCTCCCTGCTGAGCAGAGAGCCTGATGCAGGGCTTGAACCCAGGACCCTGGGGTGATGACCTGAACTGAAGGCAGAGGCTTTAACCCACTGAGCCACCCAGGTGCCCCTGCCAGTCCATTTTAAAAATAACATGGAGCCCTTAGAGTATTGTCATGGGAACAGCATATTGAGGGGTCCACAAACTGTATCTCTGCAGGTGAAGGATTGGAGGATGTTTTCTGGCAGGAATGAAAATGGAAAGAAAGTGGTTCCTGACTTCAGAACTGCCCCAAAGAGAAGGGAGCAGGCATGGTTAGAGGTGGGGACTCAGGCAGGAAGAACCTGCCCACGTGGGAGCTATCCAGCAGTCTTCCTGCTGCCTCTGGAGAAAGTGAGCTTCCTGTCAATAGAGATGGGGTGACAATTCTTCCATTCAACTGGAGGCTGGATTAGATAATTTCTAAGAGGCTTTCTTATCCTGAATTTTATGTTTCTATGGTACTGGGGGGAAAAAACATGTCATAAAATCTAGGACATCAAAACAGAGTATTGTCACTCCCACCAGCATACACTTCTTTTCTCAGGCTCCCTAAATAAGTTGGGGCCTGGAATTTCACTTCATATGGTATCTACATCTGAAATCCTAAGAGAACTGCTTTCCAGTCCCCTTTGGACTCTGGGTGGGAATTTAGGGGGTGTCAGCTGGGACCAAGGATCATCCTGGACCGTGACAGTTTGGAATAGCCCTAGTTACACTCTTTTGGGATCTATCTTGGCCTGAGGTAAGTCCTTTCTAACTTCTCCTTCATGCTCCTAACAGGTTTGAGCACCCAGGTTCTTCTCCACACTCTCTGTCATCTTCTTCTGAGGAATCACAGACTATCAGAGAGGGAAGAGGCCTGAAAAGTCTTCCAATTCAACTTGCTAATAACTCCATTTACTGAATTCAACAAATGTTTACTAAGTGCCTACTATGAGCCAGGGCCAGGATAGGCATCTTGGTGGGCTCTT